CTCTCACCAGTTTTACTACCGGTTCTTGCGAACCGGTCCGAACCGGGGGCAACCCACCACTGATCCCATCCCATCTCTTCCCATTTATAGGAAAGGAATACCCATATCTGTTGTAGATATTACTGTATAACACATTGGATGAACAGAATAACATAATCTTGATAATTAAACAATTATTATTACACTACCAATATGAGCATCAGTCAGTGACGCTGTAACCAAGGTAGGCTAGGATTGAGAGAACAGTAATTTCCAACGTAGTTAAGATTAGATCCTTTCATAATAAAGAGTAAGTGGCAGGAAATCTTCTTTCAAGAGAGAGGCTCTTTCTGACTCAATCATTCTGTCATTTTATTCAATCCAAAAATAGGTTAATTTGAGCTGTTGCTCCTGCTGTTATTCCGGTATATATTTAAGTAGACTCATATCTGAAATTATGATCATCCTTGACATTACTGCTTCCTTGTTCTCTTCTACATGCTTTCTAGGGTTTTGTTTCAGTATGCAAAGGACAAAACAATTACGGCAACTGCTTAATAGCGTTGGTTAGAAAATACCAGCATGGCTGTATTCTCATTTTAAATGCCTCTCCTGTATAAAGAATTCATTTTATTTTCATAAATATAGAGTAGACACATTAGCATCCTGAAATCTATTTAGCATCCAAAGAAAAGGATGTGCATATTCATCATGTCATCAAGAGACACTAGTTATGCACACTAAATCTTTCATACTGCAAATCCTATTTATTCACCAGGGCTTTTATGTCCGCTATCCAGGAATTTAAACCTAAAGTTAAAATGTGAGTGATAGCACTAATAAGATTAAAAGCCTTGCAGTTAGGAATCATGGTACTATAATCTTGGTATCAGCAAAAGATTTATGTACAGTTTTTTCCCCTGTACAGACAATGGATAAAAAATGTAGAACAAAGCAAAGAGAGGAGCTTAACTTCAATAACATTTAGCTGGATTTTTCAAATAACACTGCAGATAAAATGGTTATAGAATAAATTTACTCCTGCTCCTTAAAGCTTAGTGTAGCACGTAGTGCTGTCTGAAAACCTTAAGCAGAGCTTGGAAATTTTTCAGGTATCATCAAATAATTATGCATGGTGGAGGGAACCAAAATATTATGATAAGGATACTATCCATTCAATTGTGTCTGATTCCCAGCAATCCTATGGACTAGGTCACTCCACATTTCATGATCTTTTTACAACTTCTTTTGGTTGTTTTATGACCTGGCTGGTAATTAATATAATGTATTATGTCATATACCACATTGTACCATATCTTATCAACATATCATATCATTATTCCAAAAATGTAGCATTTTAGGATTCTTTCCCAAGATGGTGAGGTACTTCATTTTTTAAAATAATTTTCTTTTTTCAAATTTTTTCAAATTTGTTTTATTAATTTTACAACAACACAACACAACATACAAAACACAAACACACAATATGTGTTTCTTTTTATGTATCAATTTAGTTTCTCTTATTTTCTATTTTCTACATTTCCTATTTTTCTCATCCTTTATGATCTTTATCTTTATTGTCCCTTTGTTTCCAGTTTTATTCATTTACAGTATTTTACACATTTGTCACATCATTTATTCACTTTTACTTTCCCTAATCTTGAGCCAATCATACCACTTAGTCCATACTTGATAATATTCTGTGTCTTCTTTTTCTTTTATTTCTTTCGTTAATTTATCAACATATCATATCATTATGCCAAAAATACAGCATTTTAGGATTCTTTCCCAAGATGTTGAAGTACTGCAATTTTTTTTTATAATTTTCAAAGACTTCAGGAGAGAAGAGTGAAATCTTGTAAGGGATATTGTATCTGTGGATGCAACATCACCAAACTCTCCATTAATATATGCCTATGAATTATCCTACTGAAAGAAATTCTGAATAAATATCATGGGGTGATTTTCACATACACATGTTCACAGTAAATGAATAACTGCAGCTGTGAATTTGAACATACTTTCCTTAATTTAATAAGCTTTCAAAAGCTAGCATTTTGTGATTTAAAATTGTTTTTACAACCTAAGGGTTGTAAAACTGGAAGAAATGAAATAGTAATTAGGAATCTTTCTCAACATGAAGTCCTCCTGCTATGTTGGACTTTAACTTCCAGTTGAGTAAGGTTTATGTGCACAAGATCAAGGAGACAGAAACATTAGAAAAAAAATCGACAGTCTGGAAAAATCAGCAGTGTCCACCACAAGGTGGACTGTCAAATGACAGTGTTTGTGTGATGACATCATACAAATGCCACCATTATGCACTTCCATCTTGCTGTCCGAAATATGTATGTGAATTTCTCCAATGTCATTGTTATTTACCTTTAGTGATTTGTTTCCCCCTTTGCCCACCCCCACGGACACCCATGAACTCCTTAATTTAGAAAATGTCAATGAAATGTCATATAGGCTCAGGCAAGCTGTAATCAAATAAAAGGGATCTTTAGGTTACCAGCTGAGTCGTGCAATTTATTTCTCTGTTTCACACAGCTACAGAGGACAAGTAACCTGCTGTGGATTTATGTAGCCAATTACCTTACTAACCTCGGCCCCACTTCCTCAACAAGACAACTCAACCATATAGTGATTATCCCTTCATTTTTAAAAATGTAACATTCCTATTATGCAAGACTTTCTAATTAGTTAATGGAAATAAATTTAAGGCCATCAGAATACATATTAATTAAGCTGCCATTAATATGAATGTTAGAATTACAATAGCATTAAAAAAAACCATTTCCTCCTCAACCTTGGTCTTAGATGTTTGTTTCTTCACTATGTGTTTCTACAAAAATCCTTCACAGCACCTAGCATAACAACATAAGACTTGTGCTGAATCAAGCCAAGGACTCATTCAGTTCAACACACAGTATACTGTTAGCTTTATTTATCATAATTGTATAAATTTCCAAAAATAGATCTTGAGCATTTGAAGTCAGTCAGAATTCTCTCTAATTGATATATAAACCTATACTGTATTCGGATGTAAAATCATGGTCCTTAAGTACTGCAAAGGCACCTTATTCAGATCACACTAAAGACTAGTTTTCCATTTTTAAAGGTCTGCATCCTTATTTTTATTGGCAAAAACACTTTTACAATTAATTAATCCTTGACCTCTATGCCTCTTTAATTTTGAGGCCCATAGCAACATTTCTTATTTCTCTGCACTATCACTAGTCTCTTTGAAGCATCTGTAAATATATCTTCCTTTTGTTCTTTGTTTATAGCAAGATGTTTTTTCTCCCCTACATTATTGAAATGTGTTTGAGAAGTTCAAGTGTGCTAATATTAAACTACATATCAACATCAAAAGAAATTCCAATTATAATGACACATAGTGTTATGAATATTTCTGAATGTAGGAAAACAAAACAAAAATCCCTTTTTGGCCTAAACCATAGTAAGAAAGACCATGCAATAAGTTGTTAAGTCCTAGAAAATGAGTTGCATTGCTTGCTAGTTATTATTAGCTAGCTCTGATTCTAATATTGTAAGGCTAAAGGTTATTAAGATTAAATGGTACTACCAAGCTGTGAATTAGATTTATTAAGTTAAAACAACAGAGGATTCTCTGTGACATACCATCTCACATAGATATCTCATTTAAATAGACAGGAGAGACAGCATGATAGGTACAGTATACCAATCACTAAATGTTGCTTTTTGAAATGAAGATAAAACTAACTGAGAGGAAAATCTAGGAATATTCATAACTGTCTACTTCAGAAAATGTTAAATATATTGAGTTAGCTCCTTAATTGGTTATGTATCACTTGCCAATATGACAATGACACTAAAAATATTCATCCTGAAGCAAATGAAGAACAATTATGCTTAATTCCAACCTGGCTTTTCTAAATATATCCACAATGCAAATTTACAGTAAATTACACCATGATAAACCCAGAATGATTTAGTGAGCAACCTCCAGTGTTCCCAATTGCTGGCTATATAAAATAATAGATTTATGAACTGGGTCCAGGATATAAAAAACACCAATTAAAGATTTCCCAACAGATTTGTGACTTTTCCCTGCATTATTAAATCTGCTTGATCTTATTCAGTTTCTCAAAGAAACAAGTTTCCCTAGATTAGTAAACATCTTACATACTATGTGAACAGTTACATCTACGTGTTGACATTTAGATTTCTCAGGAAATAGGTTGATTACCTTAAGCAATACAAAGTTCATTCCTAGCTCCTCTTTTGGGGATAAATTCGAATAATATTTTTTTAGACTAGTGTCAGCACTCAGATTATTTGTTCCCAGCATCTGCTAAATGGTAGCAACCAACCAATAGCATCCATACAAAACCATGATGGTGTCAATGTAACAACATACATCTACAATGATATCATCATGTCAATGATATGTTTTTTGTATCACAACATTTGACATATGAATATTGTCACTTTGGTGTCCCATTCAGTTTATGTTTTATATTTAAACATTCTTAATATTCATAATTTATATTATTATAGTTGATGTTCATAGATAATTAAATACTAACACACTTGAACTTCTCTCAAAAACTTTTGAATAATGCAGAGAGGAAAGACAATTCCTATCACAGAGAACAAAAAGAGAGGGATATTTATAGTTTCAAAGAGATTAATAGAAATGCAGAGAAATGCAATTAATGAACAAAACAGATGAAAGAACAAAGAGTAGACAGAATTCCTGAAGGGATAAAAGTATACCATAAAAGTTTATGATGATCAAGTGAACTCTGTGGTTATTCCAAAATCACAGAAGGCAAGAGAACAAGAGATTCCAAAATATTTGTTTTATAGAAATTTTCTAGTCTTTAGAGGCGGCCACCCATCTAACTACTGGCCATATCTTCATCTTGATTTCACTAAAGTGCTTCTTACAAGATCTAGACTAAGGTATTAATATTGACTGGCAGCACTTGTGATTATATCTTATGCCCATAATCTCAAAAATTTTGCCTTACCTGAGTCCAGAGCATGTACTCAAAATTACTGCAGATTCAGCATATTCTTGTACATGGCCATGATAGAAGCAATTATTCTAATGAGACAGAGAAAAAAGGATCAATTCCAATATTCCATGTGTAATCTTACTACAGATGTATGATGTGTTCTGTTCTTTATTATTATTATTGTTATTATAAAGATCTGTTCTGAATTCTAGTGATTGAGGAAATAATCATGCTGAAAGCATCTTTCTGCCTAGTTTGAAACAAGGCATGAAACTTTCCAGCGATTAATGCCAGATTTACACGAATTCAAGGCAATATCTATGTTCTACCTCGCTCAACAAAAGACAATGATCAGACAAGTATTTAAAGCAATTCTCCTGGACACGCCTGCTTTTTTTATTATATTATTATCGGAAAACTATGATGATAACAGTTTGTAAAATTAAGCAGCAGAGCAAATTACACTGTCATTCACCTTTAGGCGCTTGCTGTAGATATAAATTTTAAATCATGCAGATCCATAGGACATAATTAAGCATACTACACAATGTAATAAAACCATTTCCTATTTTACAGCTTCACAAAGAAATTGATCATGAGAAATAGAGTGGAGAGGAAAGAGAAATAATATTTAGAATAGAATAGAATAGAATAGAATAGAATTGAATTGAATTGAATTCTTTATTGGCCAAATGTGATTGGACACACAAGGAATTCGTCTTTGGTGCATATGCTCTCAGTGAACATAAAAGAAAAGATACATTCGTCAAGAATCATAAGGTACAACACTTAATGATAGTCATAGGGAACAAATAAGCAATCAAATCATATTAGGAAACAGTCAATATAAATTGTAAGGATACCAGCAACAAGGTTACAGTCATAAGTGGGAGGAGATGGGTGATAGGAACGATGAGAAGATTAATAGTAATCTTAGTAATTAATAGTAATAATAGTAATTAATAGTTATCATCCTGTGTTGACTTGGAAGCAGTTTATTATTAAGAACAGGAATGAAAAGGAATTCTATTTTCAGAAGGCCACTCCTGTTTCACTTTGTGGCAGGTTATTGTATTTCTTTTTAATAAATCCAGCTGCTTACCAAAAGAACCGTAACAGAAGATACATAGTCAATAAAGCTGAGAATTTGCCTGGGATTCAAGGTTAATGCTATTGCTGATGAAATGTAATACTTTTTCCCCAGTTATGGATCTGGTTATAAAACAATGTTTGTGCCACAAGCAGCATTTCTAGCTCCTTTGAATGCCACCTTAAAAAAAAAAAGAAAGAAACTCTCCCCCCCACCTCCTTTGTGAAAGGTTGTTATCTTATTAATGCAAAGAAAGCTATCTCTCATATTTCTGCATAACAGTCATCTCACCAACCTCTATTTCTTGGTTCATTCACATCAAAGCTGCATTAATTAACCTTTCAGTATCAGGGCATGGATTTCAATTATATAGTCACAGACAGCAGCCTTCTAAAGACCACCCTGATTTGGTTAGAGAAAGTAATCATATGAAAAGATCATAGATGAGTTTTAATAGTTCAGGTGTATAAATTTTTGGCAAATTTGATCACTGTGTAAAGAAAATATTAGCTTAGCACAAAAGCTTCCTTTTAGACTACATGCAGGGCATACCTACACAAACAAAATGAACATTACAAAATAAGGTGATTGCCTTGAATCTTTACTGAATTACCTTTATAATCTGTTCTGGTATCAGCTTAATAAAAACAATGTAAAAGGGGAGAAAGCCACATACAGGAAATTGTGTGTATCCATGTTTATGCGTTCGTAATAAAAGCAGAGATACCATAATAAAACAACAATATAAAAACAATGTTCAACAAAACATACTCATTAAAAGCATGGAGTGGGAGGCGGGGAACGAAAAAGAAAGTCCCACTCTTCCAACATGATTTTGGGGAAGGTTAGAGAAAGGGGTAAAATTCAATAAGCCTCTAAAGACAGAATAACACACAGTTTCCCAAAATGGCTGACTGGGAAATTCTGGGAGTTGAAGTCCTCCCATCTTAAAGTTGCCAAGGTTGGGAAACCCTCAGATAGTAGATACTGCCCAAATATCAGAAAGCAGAGCATTCCAGACCTTACACTCCATTTGACAGGATTCAGTCTTTGCTTATTAGCCCTCATCTACTCCCATCCTTATATCAGGATATGTTTCAAAACATTTGTGTTCCATCATGGTCACCCTGAGATTCTGTGGGCTTCATGGTAAAGTACCATTGAACTAATGCATATTGCAGAGCACATCCCATATCAATGTCTTTAGTTTTCCTTCCAATTCAAGTGTGGCCTTCCTTAAGTGAAGGGGTGCCTAGTAAGTCCTCTCTGCAAGCAGATGTTATTGAGAGAACATCCCATAGATATCCAGAAACTGAATCAGGAAGGGATTTAAAGGTGACAGATATCGCTTTAAATTGCACTCAGAAGCTGAGTGGTAATTCATGGAAGAAAGCCTTTTAATCCCATTAACTACATATTATGGCTCTGAATACCAATTGCAGGGGAATGCAGCTCAAAATTTATTTTGAATTTGGAACAGCTTCCCTTTGCCAGCTGCATGTTCATTCTGAGGGGGAAAAAATGTTGGAAAAATGAGTTATTTGCATTTCCCTCCCTCAGAACATTGAGAATGAGAAACAATGGAGTATTCCCCATCATTTTGTCAAGTTATATCCATATAATGTTGTTTCTTGTTTCACCTTAAAATCTGGAGCAAACTGCAGGGAAATCTCTGAAAGAACCTTTAATGAAACTGTTGATTATAATATTCAGTTTAGTTACACATTCCAAAATTGCTCATAATGGGAACCCCAATATAAGACAAAAGTCATTCTGTAACTTCATGTATTACTATCTACATGGTTATTATGAAAAGCACTAAGTTCAACAACTCTCTCTAACATATAATGTTAATGTTGTAAGTTCAGCTTGAATTAATCAAAAGACAAATACTGTATAATAATTAAGTTTATCTACTGTTTTTAATTAAGAAACCTTATTTATAGGTAGAAAAAATAACGTCATTATAGTCTTATATTTTTATTGAAAAGAATGCTTTGTGAAGATATTTGTTAATATTTTAATAAATACCAGGCAAAGCTTGAATTCTTTCATCAACTCTTCTTCCATAACCTCATCTATAATATATTTTCAGAGTCTGATCCCAAGAAAATGAAAAAGAAATAAAAAAGGCTTTCTAACTCCTCTACTGAAGAAAGCCAGGAAGTCTTTATAATCTTTTTTGAGAGCTTCCATATCTCAAAATCTGGTTCTCATGCTACATATTGCAACAGTAGATACTTTCAACTTGTTTGAAACTCTAACAGGAACATTTGTAAAGAGTAATAAGTGCACAAATCTTATTGTTATTTAAAGTCCTGGTATCATGGTTCGATTGGAGCATTTCCTTCCACAGATGTGCATTTTGAACAAAAAGGTGAGTAAATTACAGCAGCCAAAATCTAAAATCAAATATATGCTACTCACTTTATCTGCATGGTTCCCATTCTTTCCCTTTAACTATAAAGTATGATACATTGACTTCCAACCACAGGAATTCACAAAGCTTACCGTATAATTACGTGTGACAATAGTGCTAGTACCATCTTCCAAATAATGCATTTCTGTGATGTTGCCAGCAAAGAGACCACTAGGGGAAAAATTAAAAGGAAATCTTAGACAACAATTCTGCATCAAATAATTTTGATTTAATTTACTCTTTTCAAAAATAAATGGAAATAAGAGGAAGTTCAATTCAGGAACAAAAATAGATATAACATTTGGATAATGTCTGTAAACAAAGAAAAGGACAATTCCACAGTTAGCTTTCTTCCTGAATATTAACAAGTGTTCCAGCAAAAATAAATCAGTACTTTTGATACAATAATTTGTATTGTATCCAAATTCCAAATGCATTTTAAAGCAAGATCTTTCATTCATGTCTTTCTAGAATCAGATGCTTCAAATCAATTGCTTTGAGCTATTGTGGAAAAAAGTTAATTATACGGCATGTAAAATTAGTTCAAATATAAATTATCTGGAATTGTCTCAAAGGGCTTACAAGCGACATTTTACACTCTGGGTTTTTTTCCCCTCTTCTGTTCAATCATGTCCTTTTCCTGATAGGGCAACTCCCTGCAATTTTATTGGCAAAGTTTTGCCAATGGTTTGCCATTGCCTTCTTTTTAGGAGTGAAAGAAAGTGAGGGCCTAAGGTTATCCAGCTGGTTTTGTGTCTAAGGCAGGAATACAACTCAGTCTCCTTTTAGCCTAATGCCTTAACCATTACACCAAACTGGCTCTCTTAGCAATTCCTATTTTTAAATATTCTACTGGAACATGATGTATGGATTTTATAGACATATATAGTTCTTTCTTAAGGAATCACTGGAGTAAGATTTGGTTATAATATCAGTGTATTGGTTACAGGACCTAGTGAAGACCTAGTGAATTTATAATATTTGCACCATTCATGAATCATTATTTTGATAGTGAGAATGGTATTGTTCCACCTATCTCTTTCTAAGGTGTTTAGTTCATTCTTAGTAGGTTTTATGACAGTAAAAGTGAAGTCTAGAATGCCCTGGGGAATTTCTGTGTTAAATGACTGGAGTTCCTTTCCCAAACCAGATCTTACATGGAATGTTGAGACAAAAAATTCTGCCAATATGTCACCTCCCAAGTACCCTTATAGCCTGTTCCCTGATTTATCATATAGTTCTGGAGAAGAAAAGAATGGGGAATGACTCAAGAGGGAATAGTCCTAGATACTTATGTCCAATGTTCAGATACATTTTTTTAATTAATCTGGCTTTTTATGCATAAAATATGTCTTGATCTTTGGTCTTAGTTTTTGAGATTCAGATCTAAATGTATTGCAAACAGAATGTTCTGGAAGAGATCAGATTAGAAAGATTTGCTATGGCTGTGTAACAGCTTACTATGTCATGGATTCTTTGTAGAAAGAATCCATTTATCTAACCAGATCACTCAATCCATGCTAATGTTTCCCTCAAGAGGCACCAAGAAAAAGTTTTAGTACTTAGTCCTTGAAGAAACATATCCCAATAGCAAGCACCTGGACCATTTGGCTTATGAACAGTCACTGGTATGAGCAAACCAGGAAATTGACTCTCTCAGAGCTGTTGGTGCAATCCTGAAAATGTCATGGATTTTTCATTTTTGGCATGTATTTAATGCTAAAGTCATCCCTATTTATTTCAAACCTCTCTCTCTCCCTTCGCCTCCCCCACCCTTTTTTATAGCAGGATCTCTGGAGCTGGGTGAAATCATTTCTATCATTGTTTTCTTTGTTTCAGATTTTTGGCAACCTTTAACCAAGTTACTTGCAAGTCAGAGTCATTTCTGTACTGTTTCTACTTTGATTATTCCAGAAAGCGACCTGCAGTTTGAGTTTTAAAAATTTATTTTGCATGAACTAATTACTTCCACTTTAGAACTGCCTATTAATTCTGCCAAGTAAAATAATTAAAATATCTCTTATTTTCTAATTCCCCAAAGAACTTATGTGAACACTTTGATTTGGGTAATATTTATTTCTGTGTGGTTTTTTTTTTATAAGGGAGGGAGAGAAGAGAGAGGGAGGGATGGAGGGGGAGAGAGAGAGGGAAAGAGGAGAGGTGTAGTAGCAAAGGTGCTGGCACAGAAAGCAGGAGAGTCTGAGTTCTAGACCTCCCTTAAACTTGAAAACCAAAATTATTGTTCTGTGGAATATAGGGCACTGGAATATTAGGTATGTCAGCCACTTTGAGTTTACGAAACATATATACATATAGGCAGGATAAAAATTTAATAATAATAACAATTCTTGTTTGAATGGCTAGCAAGAATGGTAGATTCAAGACACATTTAGAAAATAACATCCTCAAAGTATGATTGTGGATTCAAATCACTCTTAAGCAAAACATGGGACATAAATTTTAAAAAAAATATACTGATTAACTTGCCACTGCAAAAATAGGAAAGAGACTCAACTAAGATTCCTTCACTGAATCCTCATGAAGCCAATCAAAAGAGTGTTTTGACAGTGAAAAAGCTATTACATCTAGACTACGTGAGAAATATTTTGAAACATTCGAAAGTTTGATGTGACACGTTGGTTAAGTATTTATGCAGTGAAATGAATTATATATCCTTCAATCTAGACATTAATATTGTACAGTTTCAAGAGAGTGTCCAGTGATCTGGCTTTATACAATTTATTTTGGTTATTTCAACTCTAAGAGAGATAAAGTACTTACAGAACTATGCTAAATCATTTGTATGCTCCCTTTGCTGGGTATTGATTGGACAGCTCCAAGACTGTATTAGTGCCATATTAAAAGAGGAAAGGACTAGGCTTCTTTGAAGCAATAAGTGTGACAGCATTCCATCTCACTGAAATAAAAACTGCATATAAACTATTGCCCAATTCTCAAATATCTCATTTTTGCCAAACAGTTGTGCAGGTGCTCTCAGTTAAAACATTTATGACTGTTTAAATCAGGCCTAGACTAAGGGATTGAATGAGAAATCTTTTTTTTAATCATCATTTTGGACCTAGATTTGAAAAAGCAAGCAAAATGAAAATCCTGATTATTCAACTTACTTATCTTTTAGCAGCTTTTGATACTAGTGGTCATAGAATCTTAACCAATCTGCTTTCTGGGTTGGGGCAATACAGCTTCACCAGTGGTGAAATACAAATTATTTTACTACCGGTTCTGTGGGCGTGGTGTGGCATGGTGGGCATGGCTTGGTGGGTGTGGCAGGGGACGAATACTGCAAAATCTCCATTCCCACCCCACTCTGGGGCCAGCTAGAGGTGGCATTTGCCAGTTCTCTGAACTGCTCAAAATTTCCGCTACCGGTTCTCCAGAACCTGTCAGAACCTGCTGGATTTCACCCCTGAGCTTCACCCTGCAGATTCAACTTGCCTAAACATTCCTTAGAAGTTCAATTGCAAAAGGTAGTGTAGAGAAACTTCTTTGGACCTTTTGATTCTTAAATTACTTTGATCTTGCATCCTCCCTCCATACTCTATAGTATCTATATATATATATCTGCTAGACAAACCCATATAAACATTTGGAATGAAGTATCTAGTATACATTGAGGATTTCTAATTCTCTTTAACTGTTATCAGAATCAAGTGAAGCTATAGAAATGCTGAAGCTCTGGATTCAGTAATGAAATTGAACTGGAAGTGAAATAACTGAAAATGAAATAGCTAAAGTTGGGAGTCTATTACAACAAATGGTTCCAATATTCCCTCCTACCCCCCCCCCCATGCAAATAGCATTCAACCTTTGTAGAAAGGAAGTATAATTTGGAACAACTTCTGGACCTAACATTACCACTAGAGAACGAACTGATCTTAGTAGCCTAGAGTACTCAATATTTTTTTCAAAATATTCAGCCCTTTCTAGATTGTCAGAATCTGGCTATGCTGATCTACGTACTGGAAATTTTACATGGGAGTCCTGGGATGTAACATGGTGGGATAACTCTTAAACTGATTTAGAGGCTTCAATTTATTCAGAATATTGGGATTGTTATTAGATTATTTGGCTAGTTCATAGGTGAGTGACCTGAGGTGCAGAGATATATACAGCTCACAAATTCCTTTTCTCCTGTTTCTAGAGTAGGGGTGTCAAACTCAATTTCATTGAGGGTCGCATCAGGGTTGTGTTTGTTCTTGGGGAGCTGGGGTGGGCGTGGCCAGGGTGGGCATGGCCAGCTCGACATCACTCGTGTCGGGGGCGCCTGTGGTGGCCCAAGCACTTTGCCAATGAAAACGGGCTCCCAAGCTCTGTTTTTGGCTGCAATGGCCTCCTGCAACCCTCTGCCAGCAAAACAGAGTTCCGTTTTTGGCTACAATGGCACTGCAGGACGGTCCTTTGTTTTTTCCAGAGTGGCCCCGCAGGCTAGATCTAAGCACCCTGTGGGCCGGATCTGGCCGCCGGACCTTGTTTGACACCCCTGCCCTAGAGCAACCTCCATTCAAAACTGCCAAAATTGTAAAAAAAAACAGTAAAAAAACCAGTAAAAAAACCTGCAACAACTAAGCAACAACCTTAACTAGTTTTATAAAAGAAATTGCAAAACCATAGGAACAGGTGTATCTATTACACAATACAAAGATGTGAAAAGGCCCTCCTTTTAAATAATGTTACTCCTTTTTAATTAAACAAAAGAAAAAAAGAAACAAAAAGTGAAACATAAAAATAATGATATTTTTATTGTTTTTATGAAAAAGCTCTCTTGCTCCAATGCCATCTGCTCATTGATCAGAAGTCATAAGTCCAGGAGGACCCACAGATTGTGCACAGGATCTTTTTGGGGGGGAGTGCAACCCCATCCAGTATCAGAGATGTTTGAGTCCTAGAAGCAGAGGGTCCTAAAACCCCAAGTCACACAGTCTTGCAAGTTTCAGCTGAAGCCTGTTGTTTCCCTTCCATTCATTAACAATTTGGGAGTCAACCATTACATATATAGTCAAAGTTCAATGTAGATTAAAACTGAATTCATAAAACTGAATGTCAGCAACAGTGAAATAAATTTTCTAAATTACGAAAGTAATAATTCTACTTTATGCTGAAAATCCTATATATCTGCAGCACTCAAATTATTTGAAGCCAAGCCAATGAGC